AATGACCGGAAAATTTTTATTCCAATTGAATCGCAATGCGAATTTTATACAGAAATTCCAAGCAGATGCGAAATTATCAAATATTGTTATGTCGAGAATAATGACGACTATGTGGTCCTTCCTGATGAAATATGCGAAGGAGTTTACATAGCCGGAAGTATAGTCTGCGCTAGAGATAACTTGATACCTGTGAAAATATTAAACGTTAGAGACGGTAATGTTAAACTGAAAAATTTTCGACCGAAATTAGAGAAAGCAACCAATTATCACATTTGTGAAGCAAAAGAAACTATGCAATCGGTTTCGCGAGTTGACAAATTATTGAAGTTGTTAAAAACTGACGACTTAAATAATGAAGAAAAAATCTCTATTCAAAAAATTTGTGCCAAATATTCCGATGTATTTTTGTTAGAAGGTGATGAACTGACTGTTACTAATATTTATAAACAAAGCATAAGGTTACAAAGTAATGCGACTCCAGTTTACACTAAGCCGTATCGGTTACCACATGCACAAAAAGACGAAATACATCAACAGGTCGGTAAAATGTTAAAAGACGGAATTATCGAAGAAGCTAGGTCAGAATGGTCCGCCCCTTTGCTAATCGTACCTAAAAAATCCGCAGATAATTGTATCAAGAAATGGAGAATAGTCATTGATTATCGGAAATTAAATAAACAAATTCAAGATGAGAAATTCCCATTACCTTGCATTACAGAAATTTTGGATTCTTTGTCTGGTGCAATGTATTTTTCACATCTTGATTTATCACAAGGTTATTATCAAATTGAACTAGATGAGGCAAGTCGTCCTTGTACCGCGTTTCTTACAAACCAAGGGCAATATCAGATGAAACGACTGCCGATGGGTCTTAAAATTAGTCCATCTGCGTTTTCACGAGCAATGACAATCGCAATGGCGGGATTAAATTACACTAGTTGTCTCGTCTATATGGATGATATTGTAATCTTTGGGAACAACCTACTAAATCATAATAAAAATCTAGTTAAAGTTTTGGGAAGATTAAGACAAGTAAAATTACGGATTAATCCAAATAAATGCGAATTCCTAAAGAAAGAAATTTTATACTTAGGTCATGTAATCTCAGCAACCGGAATTTCCCCGGATCCCGAAAAAATTCGTGTTATTCAAAATTATCCGGTGCCAAAGGATGCGAAAGAAACGAAAAGATTTGTAGCTTTTGCGAATTATTATCGACGATACATAAAAAATTTTGCATACATAGCAGTTCCGTTAAATAGGTTAGCAAAGAAAGGTGTAAAGTTCGAATGGAACGATGACTGTCAGAAAGCTTTTGAAACATTAAAAAACAGTTTGATGACCCCACCAATTTTAGAATATCCAAATTTTTCAAAGGAAAATACTTTTAATTTAAAAACAGACGCATCGGGTTCAGCGATAGGTGCAGTATTAACAAATGCAAGTGACAAACCTGTAGCATATGCCAGTAGAACGCTCAATAAAGGAGAAAAAAATTACTGTACCATTGAGAAAGAACTTTTGGCAATAGTTTGGGGTGTTAAATACTTTCGAACGTATTTGTACGGGAGAAAATTCATTATTCAGACAGATCACAGACCCTTAGTATATCTTTTCGGAATGACAAATCCTTCCAGTAGGTTGACGAAATTTAGGTTAATTTTGGAAGAGTACGATTTTGATGTTGTATATATAAAAGGTAAAGATAATGTAACAGCGGATGCCTTATCAAGAATAGAAATTAGTTCTAGTGAAATCAAATCAATGAGTCACCGAGTTTTTTGTACAATGAATGTATTAACAAGAGCGCAAAGTAAAGCTGAAAGTAAGACCTGCGAGAACAATGAATCAGTTTCATCCGAAAGGACTGATCACCCTGGCGTGGTGGAATTGATAAAACAACCTGAAAATTTTTTCGAGTTGCGTCCTATTTATAAAAACGAATTTGACAAAATACTTGCAAGTAAAACAAAAATGTCCAACACGTGTTCTATTTATAAAAGTCATAATTTAATTGTCGACAATGAATCAGATGTTATTTATATGAAATGGGATATTCGATCGGCGTCAGCACTAAGTGAGACGTTGAGAGTACTCAAAGATATTGTTATGAAATATAAGATTCCGGAACTAGTAGTAATTAAAAGTAAAAGAGATGCATCATCATCATTTCTGCGTGAAATAATGACTAGAGTTAACGAAGTAAGGTTCAGAGATTTAAAAATAAGCGTAATTAAAGACGTTCAAAGAATAGATGACTTAGAAGCGAGACAAATAATTCTTAACGACTTTCATATATTGCCTACAGGAGGTCACGCCGGTATAAACCGAATGTATAACAATGTAAGGAAGTATTTTTTTTGGACAAAATTACGGAAAGACGTTGAGGAATTTGTAAAGAAATGCGATTCTTGTCAGAGGTATAAGCATGGGAAACACAATTTAGAACCAATGGCGATTACAACAACAGCCTATTCGGCATTTCAAAAAAATCTTTTTAGATATAGTAGGACCTTTAGAGCAAGACGTTCAAAATAATCGGTACATATTAACAATACAGTGTGAATTGAGTAAGTTTGTTGAAGCGTATCCAATACCAAATAAAGAAGCCGTTACCGTAGCAGAATCATTCGTTCAAAATTTTATTTTAAGGTATGGTATTCCACAAGAAATTGTTACAGATCAAGGTACAGAATTCTTATCGTCAACTTTCAAAGAGGCTTGTAAAGTATTAGGAATAAAACAATTGAATTCGACAGCGTATCACCACGAAACGTTAGGTGCGTTAGAAAATTCCCACAAACACTTAGGTGCGTATCTAAGAATACAAGTGGCAAAACATCCAAATAGTTGGAGTTCATGGGTTTCATTCTGGTGTTTTTCGTACAACAATAGCGTGCATAGCGAAACACGGTACACACCGTTCGAGTTAGTATTTGGACAAACGTGTCGACTGCCATCGAATGTGCTTACTCGGACGGATCCTCTGTATAGTTTCGACGATTATCCATTAGAGTTAAAATATAGACTTCAGACCGCATGTAATGACGCTAGAAACAAATTACTTTTGTCAAAAGAAAAAAGGAAAAAATTGTACGATAGTCAAATTTCAAAAATTGTAAGATATCCAACTGGTTCGAAAATTATGTTACGAAACAATGTAGGAAATAAGAGTGAGCCAGTGTATAAAGGACCATATACTGTAGTTGTAGACAAGGCACCAAATGTTGTAATTAATATAGGTAATAAGTTAATAGAAGTACATAAGAATAGAGTTAAGAAGTATCATGAATAATGTAAGGAAAAATTTTTTTTTTTGGAACGTGAGAACATGAAAAAAAAATTTTTCTCCCGACCGGGGGAGGTGTAATGGAATGAGTAAGTGTCAATTCGTTAGTCAGCAAATGCTTGTCCATTGCAAGGAACTAGGTCATCAATAGTGTATAAAAGTGTAAGTGATAGCTAAAACAAGAGAGTGTTAAGTCTGGGTTTGTAGTGGTAATATGGGTAAATAAATTGATAATAAATATGTATTGGTGTTATTAACCTACCACCGTCGGGACTATTAGAGAGGACATCACATTTATTTAAATAATCCTAATTGTTAAATTGTTTTAGCACGAGTTGACGATTAAGAAAAACTAACTTGATTGGTGAATTTTCAAACAATAAAACAAATTTACAGCACGTGTTTCGCGGTGAACGGAAGTCCGCAATTTTTCGATTAAAAGACCGCAAGGATTAACAGCACGGGTTGGGGACAACAGAGTGACGTCGGTTACGATTGATTGTCGTTAAACAAAGGCTTCCTCCCATTTTATTAACTACCAAACCAACTAATTTAAACCTAGCTCTTACCACATGTTTACATTAACACAACCACGTTCAGACTGACGCTACGCCATGCCCCCCTTGTCTCTACCAACCCTCTAACTAAAATCCCCTTGCGCTACGTGCATATTTGGTTGCCTATGTTTTCAAATTATTCGAATGTGATTTCGCGCCGCTGTTAATTAATTTGATTTAAATTCGGTCACCACAAGATTAAAAAAAAAAAACGTTTTTTTTACATCTCTAATCATTGTCATTGAAACTATTATTGTTACCACATTAATTTACCTAACACCATCGTAAAGAAATAGTTCGTTTGTGACTTTCAGTTCATAAGTAAGTGTATTATATATCGGATTTATAAAATTAATACAAGTAATGATACGTTATGTAGGCAGTGAGGTTGTAGTCCACGTACCGTTTTAAAATAATTACCCTCTTACTTTTATCACTTTTATAGTGGGAGGTCTTCAAGAAATTTCCCATCTACGTACATCTAGTAATTTTTATGTAGTGACAGTGGCAGAACTACAAACTGTCCTCTGTCAAGTTAAAAAGAGAATGTTACGCAAGCGCCAAGATTCAAAATTTAAATATACCTTGCAAAAAGCAAATGTTTCTCATATCAAGACCTGGATTAATGAAGTGTTACAACCACAGATTTTAATGTAAGTAAGCCAGAGGGTATCACGTTTACAAATGTCAGCAACTTAAGCTAATTTTGTTTTCGTTCTTCACTAAAAATTCATAGCTGGCACTTATGTTATTGGGAAAAATTGTGGCGTTGATGAATTTTTAACAAAAAAATGCACTTTTTTTCATTTGTTTATTATTATTACGAAAACCGGCACATAACAATCTGCCGCGAAATACGAAATCGTAAGTTTCGGTTATAGACAATGAATACCAACTTCTGTTTCATAAGTTACTAAATGTGTTGGGTTTTTATTGGTTTTTACAAATTAACTAACACCCGATAAGTTTACAATTAAGCGTTGCTAAATGGTACCCACTTAAGAATATCACACAAGCAAACAGTTACATAGTTTTTATTTGAAAATTTTGTCAAAGTGGTAGAACTAACGTAAAACAATAAAGTTTTCCATCTAGCAATTTTTATTACCGAAGATTGCCCCTCCTGCGTCAACCCTGCAAAACTGGCGCCCGTTTCAGCTCTGCAAGTTTCTTGTGCGCGTCCCTTTGTTGTACTCCAAAAGTCGACGAAGCTCTCCAGTTTAAAACCAAGTAAAAAAAATTAACCGAGATGTTTTTCAATTTGATTTTATTGAATCGTCAACACCAGGCTCGGTTTGGTTATGCTTGGATTGCAGCTACCCTTGGCATCAAGCGTTTAGCCAGGAAAGATGTCCTTGCATTGGACATCTGCAAAATATGGTAGATAAAATTCGTACAAAACATTAAAGTAATTTCTAATTCGCATTATTCTTCACAGCGACGAAATTGCCCAGTATGTCTGTTCGGAGTCCGATTCACCTCGATCGCGCTTTTCCCTTCGACTATCAGCTGTGTTGATCAACGGAATTACGAAGATTTACAGGCAAAGGGCTGTTTATTTTATGGGTATGTATGAACGTATGTGCGAGTACGAGTCTACTTTTTGATGTTTTAGAGGACTTGGTTAAGTTTATGACAAGCATATCGAGGCCTGCAGTGGTGGTGTAAGTATATTTAATTTTATGCTTATTTCATTACTGACTTTTTATTTTTTTTAGTCTGCATTTTTCACCTGAGGAAGGTATTTGTTAAGTAGATTATTTAAGGTTGAATTTTTATGGTTGTGATTAGGTATGTTTCCGACTCCTCCAACTCCTGTTCCAAGGAAGAAAGGTAAGAAGCGACGTTTACCTTCTGAAGTGAGTACTCCCCAAAGCCAGATTGATAGACTTGTGAGTAGCATAGTGGCTAAAGAAAACACACAAGTGGAGGCTATTGTTGCTCCAGAATCCCTCATACTCCAAGCACGGGCTGATGAAGTAACATTACATGAAGGACAGGTACAGCGTGAGGTGAATTTATAAATTTTATTATGTGTCAGTGTTAGTTTGGTAAATATTATTTTAAGGCTACTGGTGATGAATTTGGGATGCTGGGAGTTCTGCCAACTGAGGAAGATTTAATAAGAGATATCTCACAGTAAGTTGTAGTTTAACCATAGATATAAATAATTTAAAAGCCACTCTGAGTAAAAATATGGTAAAACAGTAATCATAAAAATAGGGAAATCAGATAAAAATCGAAAGTAGGGTTGTTTGTAGGGGGATCTTTTTTTTATCAGGTTAGCCTCTTTGATAGAAAGATGAACTTTCAGTCTATTTGGCCGTGCGCTTAGGCAAAATTTCTGTGAATGACACGGGTTTTAGCTGGAGTATGGTGGAACCATCTATTGAGAGAAAATGAAAATACTAAAAACATAAATTAGTTGCATATTTGAATTATAATTTAATACACCATATAATAGAAATAATTGTTGAAGTTTATGTACTAAAACTTCACACAAATGTGTCTTTTATTTTAAATAATATTTATCATTTCAAATCTTTGCGGTAAATTTGTTTATACCACAATTTTAGAGAAGCCTATTTCGCCTATTGCAAATTTTTATAGTAAGCATGCTCAAACTATTATAAAGATCAAATGTTCCGATCTGAAAAAAAGAAAACTGTTACAAATTAATTTAATAACAATAAACTCACTAAATAAAATCACGTTATTTTGCAATACGTTTGTAGAAGTACAAGTTTATTTTCGCTATTATGCAGTGTACATTTTATAGGTATGGTAGATATTTTTTGATCAATTTTGAATATGAATTATCAAAAAAATTCACAATTAGGCAACCAAATATGCATCGTATATCAGTGCCCCCAAACGTCAAAATAACTGCTGTGCACACGGACGGATAGAGTGAAAACATGGCTAAAACTCTATCTTTGTATCAAGGGCTCCGTCACAGAATTCTTTACTGGTCTGTGGAGGCCGTGAGGTTAAAGGTTAACCACGACCTTCAGAACAACTCTAATTGAAAATCCGAAAGATGGCGCCGCGTTTTACGGATCACCAGAGTTCCTAAATATATCTTGGGACTTTACGGAACCATGTACGGAACCCATACTCCACTATAATCTTGCCTCCGATGCGCTCCATAATGATAAGACCATGGAGGTAATAATATTCTATTCTATTCAAGAACTAAGAAATAAGGTAGACAAATTTTCAGCACGTACATTATGTGTGTAACAACACCCCACATAATATTGAAAGAAGGAACAAGGAATGCAACAAAATACATTTCTTATTTCTTGCATTGTGTTTGGGCCTTAAAAATTACTAGGTCTGTTAATATTTTTAAAAAGTGTAGCAAATTACGTGCACTCGGAATTCGAAAAAAAGGAACTTAACCTATGTGCTAGACAAGAATAGTGATAATGTTTTTAGCGTATGCTGTACAATTTTTTTTAATTACGTTTCCTACGCACAAAAAATTGAACACAGTTTAAACTTATTTATACAGGGTTTTCAAATTCGCAAATTGTTAGTTTTCTTATATTTTTTTATTTTTTAATGTTTTCGAAATTTTTTTAAGTAAAATTTCTTTTGGTACTTTTATTGGAGTTTAAGGGGACGCGCCAGAGGAGGTATAACATTTTTACCTCCCGAGCGTAAGCAAAGGAAGTATTCTAATCGAGTCCATCGGCCGACTCTCTACATTTGCGTTTTCGCGACCTATCATTACCCCTAGAGGACGAAGAAATAGGTCTGTCCGTCTGTCTGCCGTCCCGGATTTTTCTTAGACAGATAATCTCCGAAAGTACTCGGCCGATTGTTGTCAAATTTTAAATTAAATCAAGAATTGCAAAACTGAATAGTTTGAAATCTTGCAGACGTTTTGAAGTCATTCTAAGCATCGTAAACTGTTAATTCAAATAAATCTGTTTATTGACCCCAAAAAATTGATGACGTTATTCCAAAATTTTCCGGAATAAATTCTACCCAAAATGTGCAAAATATGAGTTTTTACTTGTGTTTCATCATAGCATTCATATTTTTTATTGATCAACTTAAGAACGAGTCATACCATTTTCTCGAAAATGTGAAAATAAAAACGTCTTTATTTAATAAGAATTATAATAATGATATTTAGAACATTTTGTCGATCCCTGTTTTGAGGGGTCGAACGAAATCAAATCAAACTATAATTTCTACGTGACATTCTTCCGATGTATAAACATAAACACTTTCAAGTTGTTTTTCTTATCGAGGATAATCTAAAGACGTACAGTAATAATATTATTATTATTAATAACAAGCCATTCTGATTGACATTGCTATTCCTAACACAAACAACATTATTCAAACATACCACACCAAGATTTCAAAATATCTACAATTATCGATAGAAATGAAATCCATGTTGAACCTTAAAAAAAATTCAATTCTACCCTTAGTTATCTCTAATGTAGGTGTAGTCCCAAATAGCTTAGTTGAGAATTTAAAGTCTTTGCATTTGAATGATTCAATAATTATCAAAATTTAAAAAGCTGTTTGGTTAGTAACATGTCATATTGTTCGTAAGTTTCTCGAACAGTCTGATCATGTCAGTCAGATTAGATTAGCACCAGTAGGTCAGAGTAGTGTAGGTCACTTTCCAAGTGATGCGCGGATAAATGATCGGTAGTTACGCTAGACTTTTGGGGATGGGGTGAGATTAGAGAATAATAGCAGACTAATTTGTATGCTGTAGTTCTAGAATCTCGAAAGTTGTTTTGTTAATCTAATCAATGCATATCATTACTTGGTCTTAGTACCCGTAATGATAGAAGTCTTGCCTGAATGCTGGTCATTTCCGGGTCAGTGGTGGGTCTTAATAATAATAATAATGTTTTATTTTCAACAGGATACGCCCAATTACAGAAAATAATTACTAAAAATCTATAAAAAACTATGATGTACAGGTTCACTATATACAATAAATATGTAATTTGTGTATTGAAATTCTCAAATGCACATTTTTTAATACTATTTCAACTATCATAGAAAATGTCACATTGAGCCGAGATTTTGTTGAAATTTTCGCACATTGCCGTCAATGGTGATTTTCGTAACATATTTGTCCTACATGTGTTACAATAAATATAATATGAAACGTCACTGTGACCGAATCCCAGGCAGCATGACTGTTGGTGACAATAACATACTGTTGGAGGAACCCCAAGACATTGTTAATGCGTTTGCTGTTGAATTCGCCAACGTATATAAAACTTCTCGTGATAGCCATGCCTGTGATAACACCTGCATCTGTGATACCGGCGGCTGTGGCTTTTGCAATAAAAAGTGTTGTGTTTTCCTACTCTGTGATTCTGACTGTGATATTTCAAGTAATTGTGACACGTTATGCCTCTTTGAAATAAATAAAGATGACATCGTGAAAGCTGCTAAGAAGCTGAAGAACAACAATACATCAGGACCAGACAATATCCCTGCGTTTTTAGTTAAGGATTGCATAAGTTGCGTACTTGAGCCACTATATCATATATTTAATTTAATTATACAGAAATCTATTTATCCTTGTAACTGGAAAAAGTCACGTGTGTGTCCTGTATTTAAGAAAGGAAATAAGGCTGATGTGAAATGTTATCGGCCAATAGCATTACTCTCAAACTTTGCCAAACTGTTTGAATCCATTGTATCGAATATAGTATATTCACATGTAGAAAAATATATTGCCATAGAACAACACGGGTTTGTGAAAGGGCGCTCCACTCTTACTAATCTGCCTGAATTTACGCACTTTGTATCAGAATCACTCGATAACAAAGTACAGGTGGACGTGATATACACGGATATGTCTAAGGCATTTGACAGGGTAAATCATTGTATTCTGTTACACAAAATGAGAAGCTTTGGTATTTGTAGGAATCTAGTTTTAATGTTTCAGTCACTGATTAATAAGAGGATTCACTATGTTGAACATAAAGGATACATTTCTGCAAGTTATGAAACTACTAGTGGTGTATGTCAAGGCTCAAACTTAGGTCCATTAATGTTTATTTTATTCTTTAATGATGTTGTAAAAGTATTGAAATGTAAACCGTTTATTTATGCTGATGATCTTAAAATTGTCAACGTAATAAGAAGTTATCAGCATTGCCTAGACTTACAAGAAGACTTAGACATGTTAATTAAGTGGTGTTATAATAATATGTTGGATGTGAACTTTGACAAATGTATAATCATGAGTTTTCTAAGGAAAAAAACAATGCAATTTTTTTTATTATAATATGAATGGTAAGATACTGAAACGTTGCGATGAATTTTGCGATCTAGGAGTTATAATGAATTCCACCATGTCTTTTAAAACTCATATTGAAAGTGTCACCAAACGAGCAATAAAAATGTTAGGGTTTATAATTCGAAATGCAACAGACTTTACAAACCCTGTTAGTTTTAAACTACTTCTCTACTCGCTTGTTAGGTCTAGACTTGAATATTGTTCTGTTCTGTGGAGTCCGTATCAGAATACTTATATTTTACTCTTAGAACAAGTTTTACGGAAATTTTGTAAATTTCTGCATTTTAAAATGTATGGTAAATACCCGGTACGACACTGTGACCAAAATGAATTGTTGGTACTTCTACATGAGATGTCGCTTGAAGCTAGGAGAAAAACGGTTCAACTGATATTTTTACAAAACATAATTAATGGTCGTATTAAAAGCTTGTTTATTTTATCATTAGTAAAATACTACGTCCCACGAGTAGGAACTAGAAATCTTGTTACGTTTTATTATAATTTACCAAATTCGATCCACCATGCCAATAGCCCGCTTTTGTCTTGTTTCACCTTGTATAATACACTAGTACGCCAGCACAACTGTGATGATTTGGATTTGTTCTATCGTGATTTTGTTAAAATTAAGCATAAATTACTTTTGATATGTTTGTAATACTCATGTATCCACTATGAACCTTGGTTCGTTGGATCAATAAATTCATTATTATTATTATTATTATTATTCATTATTAACAAAAGGTAGTGCAGTGTCGAGCATTTAATCTAGGGGTGACATAACTGATTTTGTTAATGCACCAACTGCAATCTACCTTATTCTTTAATAACTTAAACAGAAAAAAGG